TTTTTTTTTTCTCTTATTAGTAATTTCTTACTTATTTTAAATTTAAAAAAATAAAAAATATATTTTCTTTCTCTGTGGCTATATTGATTGAATTTTAGGATGTTCACAAATGTGTCGTTGATATGAAATGATGAGGTTGGGATTATTTCTACATTCCTTTGACTTGGTCAATTATCCAACTCATTTAGAGAGAAGTCTTGAATCCTAAGGGTTTTTTATATTGTTCAACTTTCAATGTTTCTAAAATTATTTTTTTCAAGAGATATCGTTGAAAAACTTAGACCCACAACAAATATATTCAAGATATTAAAATTAAATTTTAAAGATTGGGTGAAGTAAAATAAAATTTCTTTTTGCTGTCAGTCATAGTACCGTTCTAAAGAAGCTCCTACATTACGGGCGAAGGTTGTTTTGACAAACTTTTTTATAAGCCTGCGAGAGTTACAATGTGGGATCAATTAATTAATTTACTGATTCCCAACATTTTCTTCCCAAAATGAGCATTGTATTTCAACAACAGAGTAGTAATTTCATTTTTATTTTTTAAAATTCCAAATCACAAAATGCCCTATTCGTACGTATATATACATATAAGCAAAGAATGACAAATTAAAATTTATTATTGGTCGACTTTAAGGTGTATATTTCTTGATTTGATTGATTGCTATATCTATTGAACATATTATACACTGTTCTTGCGCAATGATCAGACTGAAACATTTTTTATACAGTTGTAACGTGCCAAAATAAGTTTCAGGGATTCTAATATGATAGTAAAGAAGCAATATTCACCCACTTTTTATAAGAGACAACCATGTAATTATTATTGACAACTGTATAGCAATTTTAATAGAATATTAATCACTAAGAAATTACAAACACTAGCTTGGAGATTCTGCTGAAGTAATTCTCTTTAAAAGTATGGTCTACTCAATAAAGCACACAAATCATACCTAATAACATTGCATTTATATATATACATAGGGCTCGTTTGAATTGAGGAATTTTCCATTTTCCACATTTTGACCTGTTTGATTGCAATTCATTTTCCTTCCCCCACCCATGTGACCCTTTCTCCTTGGTTTTCCAGCCCTTCTTTTTTAATTTTTCCCCATTTTTTTGGCATTTGGAACAAATTCTATCCTCATTTATAATAAATTATATCTCTTTAATTGACAATTTTATTAAAAAGAACTGAACGATCACCACAAGATAGAAAATTTCAACATTTTCAGGTGAAAAATTATGTCAAACAAACACATTTAATTGACAATTTTCAAAAAAACAAGTTCTAGGCAATTCGCTGGAATTTGCTTTCTTTCCACCCAAATTCCATTCTTGCTATCAAACGGACCCTTAGTTAAACTGGACTACTCAATATTTTCAGATGTTTCCTATTTTGTTTCTGCATTAAAAGGGTTTTCAAGTTTTGCATATATCGCACACAATGGTTCCTTTCATGAGAAGAGGTCTTTAACTAAGAGATAGATTCGGCCTAGGCTAGAATGACTAATAGGCTAGCTTCTTTTGTTAGGCGTCCTTTCTTGGGCAGTTTAGTTGCTTGACTGATTCAGTGATTTAGACCGATCTATAGACTCGACTCCTAATCCTCATATTCTTGCTTTAGCATAGTTCAAAATGTAGCCCAAGCTTGGGACCA